GATGCATAAAATTAGCACTTCCATCATTAATTAAGTGCAACCTTTCTCCCAGCTGGTGTTTAAATAATTTGCTAGCTTTCCCTGAAAACTTTGTTCAAAACTAACTTACTCTCTTCCATCTGGGATTGTCTGCATAGTGGTTCTGCCACCATAGGTCCTTACCAACAATAAGCTCTGCCTTCAAACCCACCATCAGATCAAATGAAGAACTCTACTAGATCAAGCAAGGACCACCAAAGGCTGGAAAAAACTGCACTATTTCCATTTGGCCAGTTAGGCACTATTCATCCTCATAAACTTTTGATTTGTTTTGTTGTTTGAGTACCAATTAGATGAAGGTACTGAGCCTATAGAGTTATTTCTGGCCCTGGCCACTTGGGCTCAGCAGTTAGAGCATCAGCCCGTGAACCAGAGTCCCAGGTTCAGTTCCCGCTAAGGGCGTGTACTTCGGTTGCATTTTGCCCCGGTCCCGGCTGGGGTCGGGTGGGTGGCAGCCAGTCGATGTGTCTCTCTCACATCAATGTTTTTCTCTCTCCCTCCTGCTCTATCTGAAAATAGATGCAAAAATGTCCTCAGGTGAGGATAAAAAATTTTTAAAAAAGAGTTATTTCTGGCCCGGCCAGTGTGGCCCAGTGGTTGAGCATCAACCCATGCACCAAGAGATTACCGGTTCAATTCCCGGTCAGGGCACATGCCCAGGTTATGGGCCCAATCCTCAGTGGGGGGCATGCAGGAGTTGGCTGATCAATGTTCTCTCTCATCGATGTTTCTCTCTCCCTCCCTCTCCCTTCCTCTGCCTCTAAAATCAATGAAAAAAAAACCCCCACCATATAGAACAGTTAACAAAAAGACCCACAGAGAGATAGTAATACAGCTTATAAAGATCTAACATTTAGCCCTGGCCAGTTTGGCTCAGCGGTTAGAGCGTCGGCCTGCGGTCCGGAGAGACCCGGGTTCAGTTCCCGCTAAGGGCACGTACTTCGGTTGCAGTTTGTCCCCGGCCCTGGTTGGTCGTGCGGGTGGCAGCCACTCGATGTGTCCCTTCACATCGATGTTTCTCTCTCTCTCTCTCCCTTCCTCTCTCTCCCTCCCACTCTATCTGTACAAAAAATGGAGAAATATCCTCGGGTGAGGATTAAAAAAAAAAAAAAAAAGATCTAACATTTAAATCCCCATAAACCATACCAAGGTTAAACTATGGCTCTGAGAAATCACTGAGCCAATAAATAGTAGTGCCAAACCAGTTTGATTTTTCCAATAGTCTAGTATCTATCTGCAAATACAACAGCTTATTTTGTCATAAATCACAGGGACCAAAATCATTAATGAAACTCTTTTTTTGCATAAGAAAAATAAAAATGTCTTCAGGTCCCATTTATTTTCATTCAAAAAGAAAATATACTGAATCTCAGACTTAAAAGGTAGATTCTCCCATTTACTAAATAAAATGAGAAATTAGCATGGTTTTTTTTTTTTTTATCCTCACCCGAGGACAGTTTTCCATTTTTTGTTCAGATAGAGTGGGAGGGAGAGAGAGGAAGAGAAAGAGAGAGAAACATCGATGTGAAAGGGACACATTGAGTGGCTGCCACCTGCATGATCAACCAGGGCCGGGGACAAACTGCAACCGAGGTTACGTGCCCTTAGCAGGAACCGAACCCGGGTCTCTCTGGACCACAGGCTGACGTTCTAACCGCTGAGCCAAACCAGCCAGGGCTAGCATGGTTTTTTAGTCAGCAAGAGAGGCAGTATTCTAGCCTTCTATTTTTATATTCTCCATTTAATCCTTCCAACAATCTCTTGGCTACTCAAGATACTGAGGGCCGACCAGGGACTAGCATTATTTCAATTTATTCAACACAATTTTTTTTTTATCCTCACCCAAGAACATTTTTCCTTTTTTTTTTTGTTCAGATAGAGTGGGAGGGAGAGAGAGAGAGAAACATCAATGTGAAAGGGACACATCGAGTGGTTGCCACCCGCACAACCCAATCAGGGCTGGGGACAAACGGCAACCGAGGTACGTGCCCTTAGCGGGAACCGAACCCAGGTTTCTCTGGATCGCAGGCCAATGCTCTAACTGCTGAGTCAAACCGGCCAGGGCTCAACACAATTTTTACAGAAAAATTATGGGCTCCCAATGAGTTAAGCTGGGCAGTTAGGACAAGGGGAAGCCGTGCTGCTGGGCATCCTGGAGCAGCACCAATGAAGCCAGGTTCCTGAAAGACCAAGCTGTTAGGAAACCCCAGTTTCTGGCACCTGCTTGCTCTACCCTAAAAGGCCTTCCTACTTCCTCTCCTCTGAAGCTGGCCTTTGCCAAGTCGTGTCCTCTGCTAGCTATGGCCTGGTCAGAGCACAGCATCTAGGAACAGTGATTCTACAAAGGTCCCTCCCCTCTTTGAAGGTAGTTGTTGTCCTAAAGATTTTTCTTAATCATTCCCACTCTGCTTTATATGCTCTGAAAAGATGCCTGTGAAATTGGATCTAGGACTCTTGCAAAGTTAGACCGAGAAAGGCTTCAGGTTGCTCATCACAGGCTGAAATAGTTCCCATCCAGTACATATCAATGTTTCTGCACAAAGATCTACCCTGTATCTATTCCCTTCCCAAACTGCAGATGTTCTAAAAACTTAAGAAGAGAAACCTGATAAACTGAGTGTAACTGGAAAACAACTAGTCATTCTACTACATAACAACATTCCCTATAACCATATAAACTAATTTTGCAAGGAGTCAGGGATAAGATGTTGGGTCAAAGAACCAACCAGTAGTCCCATTATCAACTTTTCCTTCTATATAGATCCTCCCTCAGTGTATGTACTTTGACATATGAAAGGCTATTTTATTCTCTATATAGGCTATACTATAATGATTATGATAGCTAAAGATATATTTTCAGATATTACCCATAAAAATATAAATCCTATAACTTTGTACTCAAGAAGGTAAAAAGGTTTATAAAACATTTCTGTCAGTATTGAGGGATATCTGGCTTTGAAGTCACATACTGGGTTAGAGCCCATCCCTCCCTCTTAACTCTGTGAACTTGGAAAAATTACCTCTGTGCCTCAGTCTCCTCATCTGTAAAATAAGGATAATAATAAACGCTTCTCCTGAGGTCTGTGGAGATGAAATGCAACAGCATATATAAAGAGCTTAGAACAGTGTCTGGTTCAAAAAAAATGTTCAAAAATAAAAGTTGCTGTTATTAGATATTATTAATTTCAGTTAACAATGTAGATAACAAAATATGTCCCTCAATCTGTAAAACCCGATTCCAAAAACTGTCACCTGCCCCCTTAAAAAGACCCTATCTTTCTTTTTATTTAGCCAAAGAAAGGAGAAAAATTTTTGGAAAAATGAGTCTTTTCTATCTTTCATGCATAAAAATAAATGTTCATAAAAAATAAACATACAGACCTATTCAATCCAACTGCTAAACTATTAGAAGAAATATAAAATATGGGGTAAAAAGTAGTTCAGGGTAGTCCTGCCTGGTGTGGGCTCAGTGGTTTGATTCCCAGTCAAGGGAAGATACCTAGGTTGCAGGTTTGATCCTGGGCCCTGGTTGGGCATGCGGGAGGCAACCAATCAATGTGTCTCTCTCACATTGATGTCAATGTTCCTCTGTCTCTCTCTCTTTCTCTCTCTCCCTTCCACTCTCTCTAAAAATCAATGGAAAAAATATCCTCTGATGAGGAGTAACAAAAAATAAAGTACTTTTGCCCAGCCAGTGTGGCTCAGTGGTTGAGCGTCCACCCATGCACCAAGAGGTTGCTGGTTCAATTCCCAATTGGGGCACATGCCCAGGTTGTGGGCCCGATCCCCATGGTGGGTATGTAGGAGGTGGCCAGTCGATGTTCTCTCTAATAGATGTTTCTGTCTCTCTCTCCCTCTCCCTCTCCCTCTCCCTTCCACTCTCTCTCTAAAATCAATAAAGAAAAAAAATCTTAAAAAAAATCTTAAAAAAAATAAAATAAATAAAGTAGTTCAGGTTATAAAAACTGGAAAGCCATTTTAAAGAAACTTAAGGGTAAAGACACTAGGGAAAAAACCTGGTTATTCAACAATGATAAAAACAAAGATTTTTACAATATATTTAACAACTAATTTTTAAGTTAAAATGCCATATTATATTTTGTCATGGTAATTTGTGATTATTTAACACTTTTTTTTTTTTAATCCTTACCCGAGGACATTTTTGCATTTATCTTCAGATAGAGCAGAAGGGAGAGAGGGAGGAAGAGAGAGAGAGTCATAGGTGTGAGAGAGACACATCGAGTGGTTGCCACCCACACGACCCAAACCAGGGTGGGTACAAACTGCAACTGAGATACGTGCCCTTAGCGGGAACCAAACCCGGGACTCTCTGGGCCGCAAGTTGACACTCTAACCGCTGAGCCAAACCAGCCAGGGCAACAAACTTTTTTTTTAAGTTCAAAAACTTTTTTTTCAAAGTCAATAGCAAATGACACATAACTCTAAATATACTGAATACAGTTTCATAAAATATGATCCTGAAAAGATGAAAAGTTTTATGTGGATTTCAATTCCATAACTATAACTTCTCATTCAAAAAAAGTTTACTTCATATGACATACTAAAATAATTTCATTATCAAAAAATAACTAAGAATAGCCCTGGCATGTTGCTCAGTGGTTAGAGCATTGGCCCACGAACCAGAGAGTTCTGGGTTCGGTTCCCACTAAGGGCATGTATCTCGGTTGCAGTTTGTCCCTGGCCCTGGTTGGGGTCGTGTGGGTGGCAGCCACTAGATGTGTCTCTCTCACATCAACGTTTCTCTCTCTCTTTCCCTCCTGCTCTATCTGAAGATAAATGTAAAAAAAAAAAAAAAGTCCTCAAATGAGGATAAAAAATTCGCTAAAATTAGAAACACTTTTTTATGTTTCTGTGAATTCTAACTGATAGCTAGTTGTCTCCTCCAAAAAAAATATTCACTAGTATTCATCATTCAAAGTATCATTTCTCTCTCTCTACAGGCTTATGAAAGTTATGTGTATGACAGATGCTTTAACATCTTTTCGTGGTCACTCAATCTCCGAAAAGTATGAAGCATTAGGCAGCAGTAAATTATATAACACCATCATATCAGACAAGGACACAAGGACTAGGAGAAGCAATTTTAAGACTGAAGAGGTAAGACCATATCACCCTTCTCCAACAGTAGACTGTATTATATTCCTTTTTTTTTTTTTTTAAATCCTCACCCGAGGACGTTTTTCTTTTTTAAATCCTTACTTGAGGACATTTTTCCATTTTTTGTTTGTCCCCAGCCCTGATTGGGTCGTGCGGCAGCCACTCGATGTGTCCCTTTCACGTTGATGTTTCTCTCTTGCAACCGAGGTACATGCCCTTAGCAGGAACTGAACCCAGGTCTCTCTGGACTGCAGGCTGATGCTCTAACCACTGAGTCAAGCCAGCCAGGGCTGTATTATATTCCTTTTAAAGTCTATAACCCTTACTCTCAGATAGTAAAACTCAAGTTACTGAATGCTTCTACAGTGCTTTATCAATTTTCCTGATAGAAAATAAACCTAAATATTTTTTCTCTAGTGGACACCCTGCAATAGACATAAGCATCCACCAAAAAACAATGCTCAGACTATTCAATACCCTTATGAAAATGAAAATATCAGCCCTGGCTGAGTGGCCCAGTTGGCTGGAGCATCCTCCTGTACACCAAAAGGTTGCAGATTCAATTCCTGGTCAGGGCACATACCTAGGTTGCAGGTATGATTCCCTGGTACATATGGAAGGCAACCGATCATATCGATATTTCTTTCTTTCTCCCTCCCTCTCTCTCTAAGAATCAATAAAAACATATCAACTTCTGGTCAAGATGGCAGCGTAGATAAACATAGTACTCACCTCCTCCCACAACCACATCAAAATTACAACTAAACTACAGAACAACCATCATTCGAAACTGCCTAAAATCAAGCTGAATGAAAGAAGCCACATCGAGACTGGTAAGAGGGGCAGAGGCTTGGATGGGCTGGTCCCACACCTACATGTGGCAGATAAAAATCAGGAGGGATGCCCTGGCCAGTTTGGCTCAACGGTTAGAGCACTGGCCTGTGGACCAGAGAGTCCCGGGTTCAGTTCCCGCTAAGGGCACACACCTCAGTTGCAGTTTGTCCCCAGCCCTGGTTGGGGTCATGTGTGTGGCAACCACTCGATGTGTCTCTCTCACATCAATGTCTCTCTCTCTCTTTCTTCCTCCCTCTCTCCCTCCTGCTCTCTCTGAAGATAAATGCAAAAACGTCCTCGGGTGAGGGTTAAAAAAAAAAATCAGGAGGGATACCTCAGCTGTGAAGGTCCTTCCTGAGGAGCTCAGGGTTCCAGTGCCAGGAAGAGAAGTCCCCATAACTTCTGGCTGTAAAAACCAGGGGGATTGAGGCTGAAGGAGGCTGAGGCTTCTGGAGCCCCAGGCAGTTCCTCTTAAAAGACCCTGGCGCAGACTTACTCAGACTCACACCAAAGATATACCAACAAGAACTGAGTTGTTTGGCACTGGGGTGAGAGCTACAGAGGCAGCTTTCTCCCAGACAGATTTGCTGATGGAGGCTGTTGTTCCTTTGGTGAGCCCTCCCCCGACGGGGCCAGCAGACAGCCACCATATCTGGGACTCCAGCAACTTAGCTCATACTATTTGTCCTGCCCTGGTGATTCCCTATGGCTCTGCCCCAGCCAACTTTCAGGCCTAACCATGCTGTTTCCAGTGGCTTTATCATAGGAATGGTCTGTCTTGCCTTCTGTTTCAGATTTTCCTAAATTCTCTCAAAAAGCAGCATCTGGTCTCAGCACCCCCATACCTCTCACTAAGTGACCCCAGGCCTGGCACTAGGAGCAGCCAGCCTTGGTTCACAACTTGGCTTTGCCTGGGCACCTCCAAGCCCAGCACAAGAGGCAGCCATCTACAGAATGCATTGTAGCTTATGTCTGTAGCCACGGATAAACACCGGCAGTGGCTGACCTTGCCCCAGAGCCGGCACACCCAGTGGACAGCTTCAGATTATGGCAAAGCACCACCACCCAACCACCTCCACAAGTGACACACTCAAGGAATAAACTCAGTGGGTACCAGAGCCCTGATGAAGTAAGTCTTGCTGTATCTGATGAGCCCCTGCATAACTGGTTCTCCTAAGTAGTCAGAGGTCAGTGGTCAGCGGGCACAGCCAGTCCTTACAGCTGATCAGCCTGAATAAATCCCTCCCTTTCAGGTGTCAATAGCAATCAAGACTCAATTACAACAGAGGGGTGTACAGTCCACATGAGGGGTTCGCCTTGAGGGCCCAGCTGGGGTGATCGTGGAGGCTGTGCCACTGGACCCTTCAGGACACCTACTACAAGAGGCCACCCTAGGAAGCCTAAGAGTCATAGCAACTCTACCTAATACATAGAAACAAACACAGGGAGGTGGCCAAAATGAGGAGACAAAGAAACATGTCCCAAATGAAAAAACACAACAAAACTCCAGGAAAAGAACTAAACGAAATGGAGATAAGCAATCTAACAGATGCAGAATTCAAAACACTGGTTATAAGGATGCTCAATGAACTTAGTGAGGGCCTCAAGAGTATAAAAAAGGACCAAACAGAAATGAAAGATACACAGTCAGAAATGAAGCATGCACTAACTGAAATAATGAATAATTTACAGGGAATCAATAGTAGAGTAGGTAAATCCAAAAAGCAAACCATCGATTTGGAATATAAGGAAGCAAAAAACACCCAATCAGAACAGCAAAAAGAAAAAAGAATTCAAAAAAATGAGGACAGTGTAAGGAGCCTCTGGAACAACTTCAAGCATACCAACATTTGCATCACGGGGGTGCCAAAAGGAAAAGAAAGAGAGCAAGAAATTGAAAACCTATTTGAAAAAATAATGACAGAAAACTTCCCTGACTTGGTGAAGGAAACAGACATACAAATCCAGGAAGCACAGAGAGTCCCAAACAAGATGAACCCCAAGAGGCCCACACCAAGACACATCATAATCAAAATGCAAAAGGTTAAAGACAAAGAGAAAAATCTTAAAAGCAGCAAGAGAAAGCAGTTAGTTAACTACAAGGGAGCTCCCATAAGACTGTCAGCTGATTTCTCAAAAGAAACTTTGCAGGCCAAAAGAGAGTGGCAAGAAATACTCAAAGTGATGAAAAGCAAGGACCTACAACCAAGGTTACTCTATTCTGCAAAGTTATCATTTAGAATCAATAGACGTATAAAGAGTTTCCCAGACAAGAAAAAGCTAAAGGAGTTCATTACCACCAAACCAGTGTTATATAAAATGTTGAAGGGTCTTCTTGAAGGAGATAAAAAAAATTAAAAATGAAGTGGCAATAAATACATGTCTGTCAACAATTGAATCTACAAACAAAATGAATAAGCAGAACAGAAACAGATTCAGACTCAGAACTTTTTGTTAGTTCCCAGATGGGGGGGGGGGGGGGAGTTGGGGGAATGGGCAAAAAAGGTGAAGGGAGTAAAAAATACAAACTAGTTGTTAGAGTGAGAAACATCAAAAGGAAGTGGGGAGGGAACCAGAAGAGATGAACCAAAGAACTTATTTGCATAACCAATGGACACAGACAATAGTGTGAGGAAGGCAGGATGGGGGCAGGAGCAGGGAGCAGGGGGTCAACAGGGGAAAAAGGAGGGACATCTGTAATACATTCAACAATAAAGATAAGTTAAATTAATTAATTATAAATAAATAAAAACATATCCTTCGGTGAGGATTTAGAAAAAAAATCAGAAAAAAGGACAATAGTCTCTACTGTTTAACGAGAAGAAACAAAATTTAAAAAATTAAACAATGTTAAAGAAGAAAATAAGGAATACAAAGATTTTTCTTTTTTAACAGGTAATGCTAAATCAGATAGAGGGGAAAAAACACAAGTGGAAAGGCACCTTGCCTCATATTTATTTCCTCACCTAGCTGGACAGAGATTTTTCGCCCCAATTAGAAGATATTAAAACAGGGCCTAAAATGAGTAATAAACATAACACAACATCCTATTTTTACTGCAGTGATATTACCGAGAGAAAACATGGACTTAAGTTTAATTTAGCTCAACTCAACTAAAACCTACTTCATGCATCCTAAGCACTCTAGAGCCCAGAGATACCAAGATGAGTAAAGTACGGTCCTTGCCTTAGGAAATTCACTGTCCCCTGAGGAAAAAGTAAGGAAACTATTATTATATGATGCAGTAAGGGCTATAATTAAAGTGTGTACAAAGTGTATAAAGCACCTGGAAACACAAGAATATGTTTATTGTGACCATAATTTTGCCTAGGATGAGTACACATCTGATCTGGGTCTTACAGAATAAACTAGACAGTAAAAGAGGCTGAGAATAACAAACATTCCAGGATAAGGAAACGGTCATTTTAACCTTAAATATCAATGCTGATTTTTCTGATGTTTCTAAGAAAATGGAAAGTCCTGATTCAGGTTGTTCAACAGCCATAAACAGAAAAATCACAATACCCACAGGCTTTTTTGGTTTTATAATACTACCCTTTGGAAAAGATAAGGACTTGGTCAGTAATCTATTCAGCTAAATAATCAATTGAAAATAATGAGAGTATAAATGCTTTCATTATGAAAAAAAATTTTTTTAAAAAGAACAAAAAAAAATACAAAATAAAAACAAAAAATAGAAAATAAAAAAATAAATAAATGCTTTCATTAGAAACAAGAACAAAACTGGCCATAAAAGGAGAACGGGAAAGGTCTGATAAAACGAGGAGAATTTTAAATGATTCTATAGAAAAACCACTTATCCAATTAAAATACAATTATTAATAGCCATTCTTTAAAAGGGATCTTAAGCCCTGGCCGGTTTTCTCAGTGGTTAGAGCATCGGCCTGCGGTCCAGAGTGACCCGGGTTTGGTTCCCACTAAGGGCATGTATTTTGGTTGCAGTTTGTCCCTGGCCCTGGTTGGTTCGTGCGGGTTGCAACCACTTGATGTGTCCCTTTCACGTCGATGTTTCTTTCTCTTTCTCTCTCCCACTCTATCTGAACAAAATACGGAAAAATGTCCTCGCGTGAAGATAAAATAAATAAATAAATAAATACTTTTTTTTTTTTTTTAATCCTCACCCGAGGACATTTTTTCATTTTTTGTTCAGGTAGAGTGGGAGGGAGAGAGAGGAACAGAGAGAGAGAGAAACATCGATGTGAAAGGAACACATCGAGTGGCTGCCACCCGCACGACCGACCAGGGCCGGGGACAAACTGCAACCGAGGCATGCGCCCTTAGCGGGAACAGAACCCAGGTCTCTCAGGACCGCAGGCCGACGCTCTAACCGCTGAGCCAAACCGGCCAGGGCAAATAAATACATTTTTTAAAAAGGGATCTTAAGTACTGGATAGAACAAACTATTTAATAAAGTACAAGGGATTCTTTATTCACTGACTATGCTTGAACACCTGAAGATCAAAACAGGCTGTTACTTCTGAAATATTACAGCCTCTTCCTTCCTTTAGATTTTCGGTCTACTTCAGTCTGTGGTTGCCTACATCCTAAAAAGTGAGATAAATGTAATTGCAAATACTATCGCCACTTTACGTAGGAAAAAAAGTTTTTCAGCCCTGGCCGGTTTGGCTCAGCGGTTAGAGCGTCGACCTGCAGTCCTGAGAGACCCGGGTTCGGTTCCCGCTAAGGGCACGTACCTCGGTTGCAGTTTGTCCCCGGCCCTGGTCGGTCGTGCGGGTGGCAGCCACTCGATGTGTTCCTTTCACATCGATGTTTCTCTCTCTCTCTCTGTTCCTCTCTCTCCCTCCCACTCTACCTGAACAAAAAAATGGGAAAATGTCCTCGGGTGAGGATAAAAAAAAAAAAAAAAAGTTTTTCATTTGCCTTCTGATGTGGACTTTGGATATATAAACAGTAACTCAAACATAATACTTAATCCAAAATCTAGGCCCAGGTTACGCTGTGGATATTTCTTAAAGGTTTAAACCTGTGGCTCATCTGAGCTTCTTTAGCTTAGAAGTATATATGGGTTTAAGTATCCTTCCACAGAAAGGTAAGACACTAGCCAACATCCTAGAAGAGTGACGTACTTCACGTAAGGGTAGTCATTTATCCCGAAGCAACCATTAGGATAGGAAAGCTTCTGATCTATCAGAACTGAACACAAACCAACAGAATGACAAATAATTCACTTAAAACCTCTCCTATTCAGAGTACTCCTGTGACCGTACTTTGTTCTGTGTAATTCCACCAGCCTGGTTCATCTCTGTCAATCTTAGGAGTAAGAGAAAGAAGAGAGTGGCTCTAGAAATGGAGACAACCCAGTCCACCCTATTTATATATGCCTCAATTCACTGCCCAAATATACAGGTGACTACCTAGAGATTTCCTGAGTGTTTTTCATGAAACACATCAATGCTAATTCCTGTCCTCCAAATCGTACACTGAACAAATTGGCATTGTTTTAAAAAAACATTTTCATTGTGTGCAATGACTAAAAAACCCAACCCTCATTCTATAGTTGAAGAAATGAGGCATAGAAAAGTGTTCTGTCCCAGGAGTTGGAGATGATCTCAATTTCCATCCAGCTGTAAATAAGCTAAAGCGTCGCTCTCTGACAGCTTGGGGAATTTTGCATATACCTTTCTTCAAGCTGAACTTGGAGCCTTACCTAAATTTGGGTGGGGGTTGGAGGGAGAGCAGGCAAAGGGTGAATCAGGAGAAATAGAAGAGAATGAATGGAGACTGGCCAAAATTAGTCTATCTACAAACACTTCTGTCCCAAGATCATCAAGAACCTTATCTGGGTGCAGGAGTTTCTCCTCCATTCTGAATAAAGGAAATAGTACGTAATAGTAGGAAAATACACTCAGAGTCTAGGGAAAAACAAGTTCTCCTTCACTGCTCTAGCAAATCAATTGGCAGACCTTCTTCATAAGAAAGTGGCGGCACCTGCCAGAAAGTGTTCTGGGGCCAGCTCTACTCTCTCTGTGACCTCAGGTCAGTGACTCAACCTTTCACACCTGTGTCCTCACGGGAACAAGAAGATACCATCACCTGCGCTGTAAGGTTACTGTGGGAATATTAAGCACCAGGTCCTTGGAAACCATCCTTTAAACGGTAACTGCTCTGACATGAAAAGCTTAGTTGGATCGTTTCTACTTTTCGACTCATACCATGTAATTCCTTTGTCGAGACTATACACACGAATTACAGGGAAATTTGGAATGCTCTGTTTCTTTGAAGAACTCTGTTCTCTCACTTCTAAAGTGAAAGATGCCCGAGGTGATGAGGAAGAAGGACTGACAACCTCAAAGCGGGAGGTGTCACCGGAGGTGTCACGGCCCCGCTGTCAGCTGTCTGAAGGGGGGCAGGGGCTGCTGCTTAGCTTACCCCTGTGGACTCGTTTTCCCAGCGCAGACTAATCGCGTGGACTTCAGCATCTCCCAGCCGCTTCTCTGACACCCAAACATGGACCCACAATATTGAATCACGCAAAAATACTCACCAAAGTTCAACATTACAATACAGTTTAACGGTAATACTACGAAGAAAAGAGGCTTTCAATCGGGTGCCCTGGAGTAACCAGAATGAACCACGCCATTTAAAAGGGGACCCCCAAACGTATGTTAACGGGGAGAGAAGCTCCGACAGCACGTTCCACTGAACTGGGATTGTTTCTGGCCTGAGATCGGGACTCGAACCCAAAACTTGTTGCGAAGGCCGTGTCCGAGGCCACTCCGGAGTGGAAGAGGCCTTTAAGGCTAGGGGTGCCTCGCTCGAACTTTCCGCGGGGAGCCGGCCAGACCCCGGCTGCTGGCAGCTCGGGTCGGCTCTCGGGGGTGCAGAGCACACCTGACGCAAAGGTGCCTTCCAGGGACGAGGGCTGCCGGCCCTTTGTCCCCGCGGAGGGGCCGGGAAGAGGCGAGCGCTCCCTCCGTCGGGAAATTGTGACAGCTCGCGCGCCCTCGCCCGAGCCCGCCCCGCCGCCAGGGCCGCAGGCGGCGCCCACCGCGGGCCGAGGGGCCCGGCCGCGCCCTCTCGTCGCCCCCTGCCCCGCCCCCCAGGCCCAGGGTGACCCGCGCCGCCAGCCTCACCGGGTCGGAGCTGGAGGCCGCCATCGCGGCGGCTGCACCACAGTGCGCGCTCGCCCTGCTGCAGGATGTAGTGGTCCTTGGCTTGGAAGAGCTCCATACCGGCCCCGGGCGCCTGGGGAGGCGGCGGCTCCTCGGCCCGGCGCGCGGCGGCGGCCCGAGGGGTGGCGCGGAGCGTCCTCGTCAGCTGGGGCCGCCAGAGCCGGCGCCCCGGGAAGCAGCGGCGGAGCGAGCGCCGTAGTTGCCTGACCCGCGAGAGAACGCGCCCCGAAGGCGGTGGCGGGCGACGAGCAGCAGCGGCTGTGGCCTCGGAGGCCTCTTCCCCGGCTCCTCCCCTTGTCCGACTGAGCCAGGCTCCTCCCCCGGCTCAACCCCCCTCCCGACCCCTCACTCGTCTCCTCCCAGGCTCCTCCCCCGGCTCCACCCCTCCTCCGACCCCTCACGCGTCTGCTCCCAGGCTCCTCCCCCGGCTCCACCCCTCCTCCGACCCCTCACGCGTCTCCTCCCAGGCTCCTCCCCCTTCCTGACCCTCCCCCCGCCCCTTTCTCCTGTCTGCTCGCCGGTCTGCCCTTTCCCGCCGCCTGAGTCTCCTCCAGCCTCTACCGGGTTTCTCCCCCTGGCTCCAGGCCACCCCCCGCCTCCAGACTCTTCTTCCTCCCTCTCCAGCCTCCCCAGCCTCCTCCGTGCTCCCTCCCCGACCTCTCCGGCCGGCCTTCCTTCCCGCCCGCAGCAAACGCGGGCAGAACCCGGGAATGGCTGAGTCAGGCTGGCCGTCTTCCTCCCATGGGGCCTTTGGAGCAGAAGCCCACTCATGGGTCCTCCCCTCCCGTGCCCGCTGGTTATTCGTTCCTTTCACCGGCCCTGAGAAAAGCCAGGCAGACTTCCTAAATCCAGCTCGAACCCCGCTCCTTTCTAGAGACCTGCGCTTCCGGCATAGCTGGGTCAAGTAGGAGCTGGGTTGGGGGCGGGGGTGGCGAGGTCGCCCCAGCAGGGTGTCTTTTTTTGATATTTCCTCTTTCAACCTTGTGACCTTTGACAACAGCAGGCATTCAATAAGTGCACATCAACGAGGAGCATGTAACAATAGAAAATATACAAGTATTAGTAGCGCAGGGCTCTAAATAGCGGGGAGGAAGGAGCAAAGTTCAGAAGCTAGTGGGTCCGGAATTGAGAAGGATGGATCCGAGAAGACTCATGAAGTAAGTCAGTGGATGAAGTGGAAGGGATCTAGTTTGACAAGGGTTAGATAGCCGGAGAATTTCCATGGAAGGAGGAAGCGCTGAGTTTCTTTGAGCTGTCTTAGAAGGACAGGTGGCTTCTTGAACAGACTTGTGCGTGCCAGGCCCCAGAGGTCCAAGCCCAGGTCCAGGTGTAGTCTACCTGGGTGATCTGGAAAAGCTCTTGTGGTCTCAGATGGTATTTGAACTACATGACCTTTCATTACACACCCAGTTTTATAGATTAGTGAGTCTTTCTACTCTTATTTCCTGCCTTTTCTAATGCCTTTAAAGGAAAGAAGAAAAAAAGACAGGGTAGGAAACAAGAAAAGACAGGCAATGCTTTTCACCTTCTGCTTTGATAAAAGTGAGAGGACCCAAACACAGGAAGTAGTTCCACATTCCTACTTATTCCAGCCCATACTGATTTGTTTGTTGAATTTCCACAGCACAGAAAGTCCCATGATGACAAAATGTCCTGGAATCTCATAAGTACTATGCCTTCTGGGCTGCCCAGATACCTCAACATAAAGGTCTTAGAGCAATGATTACTATATCAAATCTTTGTGATGTGACTTGGACACAGAAAGTAATAGAAATAAGGTGATAAGTTTCAGTGGCACTAAACTAAACAGTTTCAGATTACTGTTGAATTCAGCCATATGTTCACTTTCCTTAGCAAAAAATGAATAAATAGATAATGAGTAAGTCCTATGAAGACAGAATGTTCTGAAAATTATTTCATTATTTTTTAATGGATCACATTGTCAGATGTGAAGAAAATAATGCTATTGTAACTGTTTTAAAACAATTGATTAGTTTATTGAAACTTTGCCTGATGTTTGAAATCAGTGGTTCCAATCCTAGCTACTTTTTAGAATCACTTGGAGCTGGGGGTGTTTTTCAGACCTATCAATGTTTGGATCTCAGTCCAATTAAACCAGAATTTAATTGTGGTGGGCTCTGGTATCAGTATTTTATTCGAAGCTACCCAGAGGATTCTAATGTGCAGCTGAGGTAAGCACCACTATTTTAAATGAAATTAATTGCAAAAATTCCCTGATAGCAGCTTAGCAGAAAACAGAAATCAATCATTAACTAATACCATTGGGGGGGGGGGGGCAGTGGCAGGGGTTGCTTCCTGTAAATCCAGAGTTAACAAACAGATTCCTTAGGGGAAAAAAACCCGAAGGAAAGATGCTCCTGGAATCTGTCTGGCCTAGATACACACTGCTCTCTCCCTCTCACTGTACATACATGCTTGACTTTGGGGTAAGTAGAGCCCTGGCCTGGCTGAGCAGAATCAGTGAAAGAATAAATATTCTGTCCTTGGCAGATATCATGTCTCCAGTCTATTGCCTCAGCTGGCTTGCCTGCCAGGTGTTCCTAACCTTGAAGCTTTTCCACTCCCTGGCTGGCCTCCCCATCCTCATCACTCTCAGCCTCCTAATTCAAGGCCACCCTGCCCTTGAATGGTGTCACCCAGGTTTTAGTGGAAAATTGGTAATGCTGTTCTGTTTTTTAAACATGAATAACTATTATATATATTATATATCTTTTACATGTATGGTATATTTATACTAATTTAAGTAGACTCACAAGGGTGTTAGGTTCTAGCCAGTTCTGTGTGATCTCAGCCAATTCACTTAATCTCTTTTAGCCTCCGTTTCCTTATTTATTAAAAGAGATGATCACTCTGGCTGGTTTGACTCAGCGGGTAAAGCATCAGCCCTCGGACCCAAGGGCCTCAGGTTCGATTCCTAATCAAAGCCACGGACCTGGGTTGCAGGTTTGATCCCTGGCCCTGGTCAGGGTCATGCAGAAGGCAACCAATAGATGTCTCTCTCACATCCATGTCTCTCTCTCTCTCTCCTTCCCTCCCTCCCTCTCCCTCTCCCTCTCCCTCTCCCTCTCCCTCTCCCTCTCCCTCTCCCTCTCCCTCTCCCTCTCCCTCTCCCTCTCCCTCTCCCTCTCCCTCTCCCTCTCCCTCTCCCTCTCCCTCTCCCTCTCCCTCTCCCTCTCTCCCCCTTCCTCCCTCCTTTCCACTCTGTCTAAAAATCAATGGAAAAATATCTTGAGGTGAGGATTAAAAAAGAGATGATCACTAAGCATTCTTCCAGCCCTGCAATAAAAAAAAATGTGAGTAAAAGGGTCCACATAGTTAAACCTACACAAATAATGATGGTAAATGACTCAATTTTGATTATCAATTTTGCTTTTAATGTCAGGTTTATTATTTGTCCCTGAGATTTTTGGGTTCTGATTAAACTGGTAATTTGACTTTTGACATCATTATCTGTCACGCTTGACCACAGTCTTGTATGTTGTTTGTCTATAAGAACTTTCTTCAGTCTTATTTGTATATAAGAAATCTCCCAAAGGAGAGATTTTTAAAGATTTACATATTCTGTCTGCCAGGAGGCTGCTAATTGTTTGAGTCAGCAGTTGAGACAGTTAAGGGCCCAAGACACTCACAAGCCAAATTTTTACATTTGACCAACCATCAGCCAATTTCTCATGGACTTGTCTGCCAGTAAACTTGTGCCACCTTCTCCTATAACTTCATCAGGGACAACTGAAGATTGTAATTGCCACTTTGGAGCACTTAGACATATATAAAATGATATCAAATAATCTGAGAAGCACCATACAACAAAAAGGGGGAAAGTCCCTCTGGAGACCATCACGTTGGTCTGAGAGAAAGAGCACTTTGTTCAATGGGTAAGTCAGTCTCTCCTTCATTTCTATACTTTGGGGATTAAAAAGTACTGGCTTTTTTGTTGCATGGCCTGGTAAAATTGTCAAGGACCCAAGTTACTATTTAAACCAGCTATAATAAATCTTGCGTGTGTGCATGTGTTAGAGAGAGAGGAAAAACAAACTGTATTTTCTGTATCTAATCTTCCAGAGGGAAGATAAATTAGCCTTTTACAGTGATAATTTCATATTTGTATAAAGCCAGCTGTCTCTCCTTCCTTTCTGCTATGCACTTACTTTTCAATTTAATAAAAGACAAGACAGCTAAAAAATGATAGTTCTAAATAAGCTAATTTGAAAAAAACGTCCAAGGTAAACAGTTAAATAGAAAAAGTCCGAGTTGCAGAATAGTATTTTTTAAGTATTCCAATTGCATTTTTTTCTTTTTCTTTTTTCTTTATTGATTTTAGAGAGAGAAGAAGGGAGAGGAAGAGAGAGAGAGACATTGATGAGAGAGAACATCAATTGGCTACATCCTGCATGCCCCCTCACCAGGGATTTGGCCTGCAACCTGGGTATGTGTGCCCTGTCTGGGAATTGAACCAGTGACCTCTTGGTGCATGGGTCGATGTTCAACCACTGAGCCACACCTGCTGGGCTATTCTTTATTTAAATTAAGTTCACCCGAGGACATTTTTCCATTTTTTGTTCAGGTAGAGTGGGAGGGAGAGAGAGGAACAGAGAGAGAGAGAAACATCGATGTGAAAGGGACACATCGAGTGGCTGCCACCCGCACAACCGACCAGGGCCGGGGGACAAACTGCAACCGAGGTACATGCCCTTAGCGGAAACTGAACCCGGGTCTCTCAGGACCGCAGGCCGACGCTCTAACCGCTGAACCAAACCGGCCAGGGCTTAATTTATTTTTGTTACAGATGTTTCTCCTTTTCCCCCCATTGACACCCTCCTCCTGGTCCCGCCCCACCCCTTACAGCATTGTTGTTTATGTCCATTTGTATCATTAGTTTTGATGAGTATATGAACCTCGTAGTAGATGGTGCAGAAGAGGCTCATTCTAAAACAAAATCAAGAAAACAGCTGAGGCCCAGCCGGTATGGCTCAGTGGATTGAATGTCATCCCTTGTACCAAAAGGTCCCAGTACTATTTCAGGTCAGGGCATGTGCCTGGGTTGCTATCTTTCTCTCCCTCTCCCTTCCTCTCTCTCTAAAAAATCAATTTAAAAAAATTAAACACAACAACTGGGTCAGATCATGCTAAAAGGAGATAATATGACTCTGCTC